GTCAATTCGTTACTCCAACTGTGAGTTTTTAGTCCACAAAATCTCTAATGCTGAAAACGTAATACGAAATAAATTCTTGAAGCGGCCAGGCGATTCGTTCTTTGTGTTTAGTTTCAATGAGAATTTACGTGGAGCGTACATACCACCACTCGTAAATAGTGTAAAGCAAGAGAAAACAAAAAAAAACTGTATTTGGCAGAAAAACCGTTAAAAAGCATAAAGCAATCAAAAAACAATTACGGACATACATTTTCATGTAAATTTTTTCTCGTAGTTTGCGGCGAACATTTCCAATGCGGTTCAGCAACTTTGGCAGATAAAAATAATGTTTTTCGTTGCCACAACATTGCCTATTTAATCAATTTATCTCCAGCTTTTTGGSCTCAAAGCTTGTAAACTTGTAGTCCTGAAGTGTTTAGATAATTCTTAGATCGAATGCTTAATAGATTTTCATGGCAGCTATTCTCGCCAAAACTCTAAAAAAAAACGAAACTTTTAATGGAACAACTCGCGGGTAGGTAAATATACTACAAAAAGCACGCGCGGTTCCAATACAATACGACAACTCGAAGGAAGTTTAACAAAGGACTTTGTCTTACCGCCTTTCCAGTTCGAATACATTTGAGATTACCGAGCTTTGATTAGGACTGGGTAAATATATACACCAAAGTTTGGTTTAAGATCATAAATTAAATCTGACTCGATTCGGACTTTTTTGATTGTAACAAGCAGCAAACATTTAATTTCGACTAAGACTTTAACWGTGAATGAAWCGGATAGCAAGTTGGAATAGTACATTGGGGTTATTCTGCCAACCCTTTGTATAAATATTGCCTCAATATCTAATAAACTACGACGGTGGTGGCCTACTTTCCCAGGTACTGCATGTCAGATAGTTTAATTTATTTTGTTGCTATCTGGAAATTTAAGGTTCTAGATCCAGCCAATCTTTTAACTTTTCTATATTTTGGTTTAATTTTCAACTTTTCGCTGTCTTTTTTCTCAAACTGTTTAAATTTGTAATATGCAGACATAATCTTGGTAGAGTAATTGTACAAAAGAGAACAAATCACGAAAAAAAAAGAATAAATAAAAGCGGAGAGAAATTAAAATTTTATTTTTTTTCGACTCACTCTTGTAAATTATTTTTATTAAACTAATCAATTTCTTATCAACCTATTTCCGTCTGTAAGATGATGTAATCCTTCGTTTGCAGTTTTACCAATTTTAGTCCATCAATAAATGAAAAAGTTGCTGGTGAATTATAGGCGTATATTTATCTAGATATGGCCATCTTGGCAGAGTGAAGTCCTTTCATGATTTACGTACATAATAAACTATAAATTCCTAGTCCAAAATTTATGTTTATTCAAACATCCGCTACCCGTATCATAAATAGACAGAACTTTACGTCCAGTTTACGAGACATTTTGTCTCAAACCTACCATCGGAAAATCCCTGTCTCCGGTCTGATGCTGGAAGTGCAGAAAAAACGTCTTTCCGCCCCGCATCGAATGCAGATAGCCCACCCTGATGAGGGGAGCCGCCGTGTGTCCGTCGCTGAGGACATCAAGGGTGGCGTCCCTCACACTGAGCGGATTCTGAGTAGGTCGCTCCCAGTCGGTGTACTCGTTCTTGAGGGTCGAAAATATCTCGTTCAAGTGGTAATAATAAGAGTTCCTCACGTATGTCCTTAAGATTCTATCACGCCTCGTTTCGTTAAACCCGAACTCGAGATCTTGCGCGTTCAAATCCAGATACGATTCCGTACTCGTTAAACCAAACAAAAGGTCGCGCTCCGGAAAATCAGCCAGTTCGTATCCGGCAGATGTCGCCACTGTCGATGTGCTACCGGTCGGAGGAGCGCTAGTGGGGTTCAGCAGGATCGTGCCGTCGATGAACGGGGCGAAACCTACCAGGAAACAAACAATTAGTAATTAGATACAATAAAACGGCAAGGCACGAAATACATCTTCATTGGAACACTTGCTGCATCTGTTGAATTCAAACAAGAAAATTAAAAAAGTGAACACACCAATAATAGTATCTGTTTCTTTTTCCAAACACGTTCTCCTTCGTAAAACAATAAATTATAAGTCTGAATTAAACCTAAGTTAGAAACAAGAAAAATATTTTTGGGTGCCTTTCACAAAAACAAACAGAACGCATTCGTGGTACTAATGTTTTTATATTTCGTGTATTAGGTACCTATAATCTTTTTAAAGTTGAGATGCAGCAAAGTGAATTTTAAATATTTATGTAATAAAATAAGTTTGTTGGATATTCAGGCGCCCTCATGTAAAGTTTTAAAACGATGCGCTGGTTTTATTTACGTATCCGCGTAAAAGTCTCGATTTGCAATAGTGGATTACAATCTTTTGCATCTATCAACTGCCGTTTGACAATTGATAGAGAATTGAAGATGGCGCCATTCTCTATAAAAATGACGCGGACACTAAAATATTTTCAGACTACAAGCCATAAARTCTATAGGAAAAACTCAAAGTTTGTTCATGTTTTTATACGAAAGACAATSGAGTCAAAAATGTCCAAATTTAAGAACCACTTTYCTGTATTGAATTAGCTTTTATTCAATACGCAATAAAATCGGAACGTCTGCGGATWGTTATCGATCGRGACTACAGCGTTAAATTAAACAGAATACAAATTAGAATGTACATTATCTTTCACTATTTAGACAGAAAGTTAAACAGCAATACACATATTAGATTTAAGTTTACAATATACCATTAGCAAGTTTGCAACTAAACAAAGTCAATATCCTCATTTTCTGTTACGTCCCGACTGCAGTTGAAGTTCTTTGCGGATTCCAAGTCGAGAGAAACCTTTGTAAACGTGATAAAATAAATTTATTGCTCATGTGGATAATTTCATGAATTTATCTAGCTGCACACAAAAGCATGAAATGCAAATTAAGCAAAAAAACGCGAGTGGATAAGTTATATGATTATTTTGTTCACCCATCGCTCTTGAAAAGTTTTAAGCGTGATGGAAAAACGAAAATGTAAAAAGTTAATTGCGGTTTCATGCAGTTAATCTTTAAGAGGTATATAAATTGAAAATAAATGACAAATATTTGTTCGCGAAACTAGGAAAATATTCTACTCCGCGACGTTTGCATTTTTCATTAAAATTGAAATTTGTTTCGTCTCGCAAACTTGCTACACACGAATATTGTAAAGAAAACTCTTTTTAAATTTGTCAGCTGCATCTTGTCTCTTGCTCCTTGTCCGAAGTGACAGAAAAATGCTTCTAAACCTCCTTAGGCTACTTACCCGGGAGAAACCTAGGCGAGTCTATCCTAACTTTGAGAAGCTCGTCTAAGGGTTTCTTCCTAAGACAGGGTGCTAGATCGTCCTCGTGTAGGTCTCCATGACAGTTAGTATGTTCAGCAACACTGCGTTTGACCGAAAGCGGATCYCTCTGGAGCGCCCAGGGACTGAGTCCCGAGCCACTTAACAAGATGACTCGATGTAAAAGCTCTGAAACAATCATGGATCAGCTGAACAAATTGGTATTTATTGGCCGATCTAAGTGGCTGCTTAAGTAAACTGACGCCATGAGACCTTAATCGCTTCCGACCATGACTTTTATTTGTTCAAATCAAGATCGGGGCCGAAATACGCCACTTAGTACACATTTCATTTCGGACACGTCTGCTGACTTAAGAGATAATGGAAGAACGCTGCACGGAACGTAAATAATAATTGCCAAGTTTGAAAGACTTGACGAAAAAATGAGGAATAACTGGGACATGAGGTGGTATTATATAAATATTATAGAAACGTTCAAATCAATATTTGGTCCAAACCCTCTGCACTTTTCAACAAATTTATTTTGAACAGTTGTGGGTTCATTTCATAGCTAAATTTAATAACAGTGTAAACCGGAATTCATTTCAAAATAAAAAAAAATAACAAACGTTCCAAAACTTTGGTGTAACAAACACGTGGCCAAAGACTTTTTAAAAATTTCTATATTACTATTATAAATATCTTGAATGAGTAATAAAGTTGTAAACTACTGTTGGTATAAGTAACTTGGAACTTAAAATTACCAATAAACCTACGTAAAGAATTTTTGATGGATTAAAGCTTGAAAACGAAGATCTAAATATATTTAGATAGAGAGATGGTAAAGTCTTGTACAAAATTCATAGTCTGCTATTCTGCATTTATTCGAAAAATGATCGAACAGGTCACTTTTACATTTWAAAAAGACACTAAATGGCATAATAAAAAAATATGTCTAAAGTGCCTTTTTAAAATGTAAATTTGACTTGTTCGAGCATTTTTCCAAAAAATAGCGGAGCTATGAATTTTGTGCAGGACTTTATCATCGCTCTGTATATGTTTCTAAATTTATTTCCAATATGAGTTTCAAGGAGAGCCTTTTATGCATTTACATTTAAAATTATCACTCGGAACCGCATTTAGGTTAATTAGAATTGGTTTAATATAAGTTTGTACATTTAAGAAATTTAATTTAGCTTTGGMATAGCTTTGAATTTTTGACAATGGAGAGCCGGTTCTGCTTTCCCGTCTCGAATCAATATTCATGGTGAATGAAGACTAATTCAATTCGTTAGGTCCGCACAATTAGAAGGTGTTGGCACGTCAAGCTCGTCATAGAAAACAGGGGCTTGGCATGCTGCAATTACAGATAGAATCGTTATCTAGGGTACACATGCATCACGAGTACGAACAATGACTGTTTAGTCCAATAATTTGTCTCTACCTCCACATAAGTAACATATGTATGGTGTAAATGGCGCTCTTTATTACTCTCGTTGTTCATGACTGTGTACGAAAAAACCGATCTGTCACCTCCTTTTTATTCTACATGTAAAATCTCAAAAATTGTGAGCGGCTGTTTTGAAAAATTCTAACTGCTCAAAATGATTGAAAGCTGCCACTTACTGAGAAAAAATTTTAATACACGGCTCGCTAAAATTTTATGCTTATTGTTTAACTCGAAGGGAATTAGTAAAAGACAAGMACGTCTCTCGYTGGCGATAAAATTTTACAACTCTCACTCTCAAATTTTTAACACATTCTCRTCGTTTTAGTGCCGGTGTAAAAATAATGTAATTGCAGATCCATTGTTTTAATTTGATTTGTCCAATGCTAAAGTTTCGTTAAATCGAATAAGTTAGTTTGTGTTCCATTAGGAAGATGAAGTAGAACTAATTAAATATATTGGAGGATGGAGCTCACATTAATGAAAATCAAAAGAGACTTCTGTTTGAACGCGACAAGAATACCTTTTAATTATAAGCTGCTGTCTTTTTACAATGCCTCATTACTACAGTTAAAATTTATCTCACCGTTTCCTCGAATAGACAAATGAAWGATTACCCAAGAGTGACATAATCCTAAAAAGAAAATTAGCATGGTTAATTTGTATATGCACGACTCTGACAATTTCCATTCGTTGCACGGAAAAAACTTGCTAATTACGTGCATTTGTCGCATTTTACGTTCCGTGTCTAACCAGTTGCACTTCAGTCTAAAAAAATTTAGTCGTTATTAACAACGAAAACAATATCACAAAAGTGTCGCGTTGTGGTTTAATGACCGCTTCTACATCTTTCCTTATTGATATCCTGTCTTGGTCGTGCATTATAGATTACGCTCCAAGTTCACTTCAATATCGAATAATAAATGGCGACCCTTCTGAAATTATGTAAAGTCGATGCTTGATCAAGTGTGCCTAGAATTTGATGTGTAATGGTGAAGGTTACGCTTGCTCGGTTTAACGTAAGATCTTTAGATCAATTCAAAAATGTAACGGAGAATTATGCGAGACTGAGGGTCGGATATTACAGTTTAGACAAGATTTTATGTTCGTGTAATGAAAATCTTAAAGTATTCCATGCAAATTATGGTTTTCAGGTTATCGAAACAATCTGGAAGGAGATCATCGAGGTTAGTACTGATAATAAAAATATTATTATTCCTAACAGTTTTAAGCAAAAAAACAGACAGCTTTTACACGAATAAAGTAAAACTGGATAAGCAAATAAATTGGCGGTGAAGTAATAAAAGTCAAAAAAGAATGAGCTAAATAAGTAAAATTAAAAGTATGCGACTGAATAAATCATTAAACAAAAAACAAGTACCTATGTAATATAAAACGTAATATTTTTCGGTTTTATTATTATAAATGAGTTTGTCGGCTTGACTGTTAAAGATCGAAAAAACATTAAATTAATACTATTTTCATCATTTTCAAATATTGTACAACAGATATTCGTAATAAGTAAAAAATGTTAATTATTATTCCTTAACTTTGCAGACGAACTAAAAAATTATCCAAGAGTCCGTCTTTAATCTAAATAGCTGATACGACAGATATAGCTAACACGACAGATTTGCTTCAGTTTAAAGTTTTAAATTTAATTTAAATTTGCTAATAAATTGCAGAATAAAAAAATTTCTTTGAGAAATATTTCTTCCCATGTGTAAAGGTAGTAAGTAAGTTAACTGGTATACTGGGTCTTGAATTAAATTTCTTGTCAAAGTGGCTTATGATTCTGCAAATAATATAAAACGTATCAATCATCTTATTTTTTGGAAACCACTACTGTTAAACAATTATTTCCACTGTATGTTATACTTATATTATTTAAAAAATATAGAAACATGATGAGTGGGTATTAATTTATTTATTAAGTGTGTCTTTGTTAGACAATAAATTAAAAGATTTCATCAATTTTCCATTGGTCGCTGTTATAAAAAACATGTACTTATATTCAAAGGTCCCTGTTTTTTGCTGAAAACCAGAGCACCAAGCCCAATAGCCGTTTTCAAATGCTTTCCTCGAAAAACACGAAACATCTATTGTACGCAAAGTTAGAGCATTTCCACCACGAAACTAAACTAAAAAAAAATATGGAATAATTAGACTTTAGCAAATATTTTTTTCCTCATGCTCGCACACTATTAATATTTTTTATTCTGCATTGCCTGCTTTCGAATTCCTGGGTAGTTCCCAACTTTGCACGAAATAGTTGTCATTGTTCAGTTTGAGTATAATTGGGTGGACAAGTCTTTAAAGGACTGCACGGATCATTAATCTAAATGAATGATGGAGGGTAGAGACAATCCCCGACTAAACCTCAAAATTGACAATTGCCAGAGTTTTTTTGCTCGATTATTAAACCTGGGGTATGAGYGTGCCAGAAATAATGTAGAGGAAGTGTAATTTCTCCATTTGTGACTAGTGCAGCCAAATTGTAATTGTTTAAAATTAGTGTAAGTTCCAGTTGTGCTATGACGAATTAACCCATCTGTGCCCCTGGTGACTATGATATATTAATAACAGGAGCGGGAAAGATGCCTTCCTGCTAAATACCTCACCATAACATAATTAGTGCAATAGCTCCTCGTCCAGAGGACACGAATATGCAGGTTGTCCGTTACAATAACCACTGATTACGCTCCTGAGGGGCGAGGAAACATAATCTCTGAATTAATGTTTGTACCAATAATGAATAAAACTCCTGGCTCTTTCTTTTTATGATAKTTCCTCCTCTCGTAAACAAAGGTTAAAGTACGGCCTCAAGTTATTGCACCATTGCCATTGTTTTCTTATTACTTTGATGTTTTGTTTGGCTCTTGACTTGCTTACTTCTTTGATTAATTTCAAGTGGTTTTAATTAAGTTTAGAAATTTCCTTGTAGAAAACTGCGGTTTTACTGATTATTCTCGTTATTTAAAATAAGACTAAAATGAGCACTCGTCGCTATTTATTCTTCAAACTAAATCACTGACATTTTTGCATACCTGAAAGAATCTATGTTCTAATTTAACATTTAATGAGAAATCACATTTTAAAGAAGCAAAAACAACCATTTAAAATTGGGATGAATTTACATTAAAATTACCAAATAACAATTCACGTCGCATCTAAAGGATAGTTTCATCAAAAGTTTTTTCATTCAACCAAGAATTGTATAAACTATTGCTGAATGTAGTAATTAAACAAAATTAATTTGATTTTAAACAAGAAATTAGATATAAATACATAATACGAGTACAGGTTTCTATTTTAATTAAATTCCAGCTGCTTAAAAATTCCCATTCAGATGGAAAATAACGTATTCTCGAGCACCATTCTTGATGAATAATCAAACTTTCTCCCAGATTAAAAACTTAATTAGATTTTGCTTCTAAGAAATCTGAATTTAATCTGTGTGTTTCACCACTCGTCGGTTAGTTCGTTAGTGTCCATAAAGTAAAGTTCAAAAACGCTATCTACAAGAAACCTCCATCGCATTACGGAAGCATGACAATAGGCAGTGAAGTAGTATAGTGCTTTGGTCGCCGGAAGCAAAAAACAACTCTCTATGGAGCCAAGAACACTTTAAGATTACCGAGACTATTGCGCAAAATTGAAGATTTCACTATTTTATTCCCTGGACTCCTCACTTTGTATCGAGTTAGAAACTTTCAAAGTTGGAAAAAGTCGTGACAATTAG